GAATATGGTCTTGGGTATACTATAATAGGATCCCCATCTACCCCATATTCTATCTACGTACTTAAGGAGGACTATAGTTTCAAGTCAAGTCGCATGATCCGGAGCCTGCCACACTCACTCTGGAGCATGGCAGTGCCGCGAGCATACCCTAGAAGGGATTTTTCTGCTTGATGTACTGTACTTCTGGACGACTGCCGTCTGCAATGACTGGCCCTTCAACATGGCCCCGTACTCGGACATGACCTGGTCCAAGGTAAGATCGCTGCGACCGGCTCTGATCTCCATGGTATCAAAGTAGAGCCGGAAGGCCGCTTTGCGCCAATCCTCCTGCAGCTGGAAACCTGCAGGCTGAACTCAACAGCGCTACACCACACACCTATGGTTTGGGGCCTTGGGGAGTTAGAGGCTCAAGGTTCAGGATTTAAAGTTTAGAGATGAAAGCCATAGGGGTTTTAGGACTTTGCAGCTATGCGTTTGCGGCTGCTTTGGTGCTTAGCAGGGCTCAGGGCGAAGGCTTAGGGATAAGGGAACTAGAGTTGAGGCTAGAGCTCAGAGTTCAGGGCTTAGGCTTTTGTCCCGGATTCAGGTCGAGGGATGAGGCTTTACAGATGCCTAGGGTTTGGGCTTTAGGGTTTAGGGTTTATCCTGGGGTTTAGGGAGTAGAGTGGGTTTAACAGTAATATTTCAGGATCAGGTCCGCAACACAAACCAGGTGTCCATTTTGTTGGCACGATCAGTTGGAATCTGAAAGTTGGGAACCCTAATGAAGCAAAACAAACATCTCTCGCTTGGGTTTCAGCGTGAAATGCCTGTGGACAAGGAGACCGAGAGTGAGGGGGAGGGCACATATGAGGAGCAGGGAGATGATGGGGATTAGGGTTTATAGCTTAGGGTTATCGTCCCCCTTAAGTAGATATAATATTTGGGTATATTATAATAAGGTCCCCATATACCCCATATTCTATCTACTTAAGGGGGACTATAGGAGCTGGAGGAGCAAAAAGGATGCGGACACCGCACGAGAATCTTGAGTTGGAAGAGCGCTCAGAGGTTGGACTTGGGGTCCCCTTCATCCCTCCCAAGCCTGCTCTTTCTAAGCTCCAAACCTGGAGTCCATGCAATGCGTGTGTAACGGCCACACGCACCAAACCCCGCTGCAAAACTGCAACCCCTATACCACGCTGCACCATGTCGATGTAGATCCCAGATATATACCACTCTGTACCACATATATATATATGCATACATGTATATGTGTAGATCCTACATAACCTTGGTTATTCTTGTAGAAATTGCAACTGGCCAGCACTTGCCTGTGTCGCGAAGGAGAGACGCGCTGCCAGCCGTGTTTCACCTGGACTTCTACTGCACGGGCCTGATTTAGCAGAATAGTTTTCCAGGGTCCGGTGTGCTGATGTTCATACCAAAAAATCGATATTATCTTAATTAAGTCTTAGTACGTCATGATACCATAATTCCCAACCCAAGGTATATGATACTTAGTGTCATGAAGGATTCTTTCCTGGAGGGTCCGGGGGGCTTCGTAAATAGCTCCTATAACCCATATAGTAACAATTGATATCCCCATTATTGAGCTACTTAATCAGTCCCCCCGACCCTATACCCTAAACCGTAAGCCCTACACCCGAAATGGTATGGAAGTTTCCATTTTTACTACGGTAACGGACCCGCTGATAGAAATTTAGCCCACATCCCGCCGCAGATCGAAATCTTTTTTTCGTTTCCCAAACCCAGACTTTGTGTGGGGACACACTGCAGATAGAATTTTTTGTCAAATCCTCGTGCGGTGCAGATATTTTTTTTCATTTTACAGGGCGAAAATGCGTACCGGAAAATGACAACCAAAAACGCAAAGCATTGGACACTTCTTGGGAAACTGTCAGTGCAGATAGCACATTGTTGGGAACTTTCGGTTGCAAACGGATTTTATGTCCGAAAGGTGGCGCACAAGACATTTTTTGGGGTAATTTGAAATCGCCAGTGCAGATAGACATGTTTTCCCGACCTGGTGCAAATATACATGAACAATCATGAACGTTATAGAAAAGGGACTTACGTACGAATTACGTACGTATGCTGCTCTTAGGAATCGTGACTGCTGGACTCCAGGCAAATTGGGCGATTTTTTGCCCGTCCCGCCCCCCCCCTCCCCCCAAACCGATTTCGTGCTCTGCGGCTAGACAAATTATCTACTTGCACTGCGCAATTGATTAAGAAAAGGCCCAGTGGCCCAGTGCAGACGGCAATCCTGCTCTGGCAGCCAATATGTAAAGCACTTTCTGGGGTCGCAAGGGAAATTCCTATCTGCACTGATTTGGCTGATTTCGTGCTCTGCAGCTAGACAAAGCGTCTTTTGCACCGACTACGTACTTTTCAGGATTTCGTAAACATTCATCGTGCTTATGATTTTTCATGGTTGCATCATGTGCCCATGATTTTTTCTTTATGATTCTCAGATATTTTTCATGTTTCTTCATCATGTATCAGGATTTGTTCAGGATTTTTCATGATATTCTTCAGGATATGCATAAGGATTTTTCATGATTTTCCATCATGCTTCATGATTGTTTCATTGTTATTTGCGTTATATGTTTCATGTGTACCATGATTGCTCTTTAGTTTTCATCGTTTTTCATGATTTTCATAACTTTCTATAATTTCATGATGATGTACTAAAGACATGGGTTTCCATTGTTTTTGCGTAATATGTTTCATGTGTTGCTGGGGAAATTTCCCAAAGAAATGTTCCCAAAAATACTTCTATCTGCGGGTCCGTTACCGTAAGTCCCCTGACCCTCCAAGTAGTATCCACCGTATGTCATCCAAACACGGAAGCTCGGATAGAAAGGACAAATCCCTCAGAAGTGTTCATCTTGCGAAACCCCAGGATCTGTCTCTAGGGTTTAGGGTTTTAGGGCTTAAGGTTTTAGGGTTTTCCAGGTTTAGGGTTTAGGGCTTTAGGTTTTAGGTTTGGGCTTTTGGGGTTTAGGCTTTGGGGTTTCCATAAACAAGGGCTCCAAATATATAGAACTCAAAATGCTGTGATCCCATGATGGGGACCATCCAGATTGGGCCCCCCCTTTTGTTGAAACCCTAAACCTTGGGTACTGCCCCCCCTCAGTAACAGTTGGATAATAAGTATAATAGGGTTATATATAGCCCTTAATAGGACCCTAATACAGACTGTTACTGGGGGGGGGCCAGTACCCAACCTAAACCGTTGCATTATAGCAGCCCCTAGGAGTTGGCCCCGAAACTAAGAACTGCCCTAAACCCAAACCTTGCCATCCCCTAAAACTCTGAAACCTGAATCCTGCCCCCCCTGAAACCCCTAAACCCTGAGAGCCCTAAACCCTAACCACCTAAAGCCCCACTAAAACCCCAACCACCTAACACCCTAACACCCTGAATCCTAAGCTGGTTCAGATGACGAAGCACGCTCTCCCGCTTCATTGCGGCAAATTGACAGGCCAGCCTACACATGGAAGTGTGGCAAAATTAGGGATACCCTCAAAGGGGACTGAAGGGAAAATATAATCATATAGGGTTGCATAGGGGTCTGTCTACAAACTGTATAGGGTCCAGGTGGAGTCAAGACCGAATTAGCACGATTTTTTGTGTTTTGCCCATGCCCTAAACATGTATTTACTTGGGCTTGAGGGTTTAAGGGTTCAAGAAATTCATGCTGCTAACACCCGGCATCATGCAGATATGGTGTAGCTCATGTCTATGGATTCTGTAGCAGCCGCTCAGTAGAGATTGGGGGGGTTTCTCTCAAATTGGGTCTACGGTTCAGGTTTGCGGCTCCCAGTGTATTTGTTTTGCAGAGCTGGGAGCCCTGATAGACCTAAAGGCCTAGGGAATATGGAAAGTGGATAGGGATGATGAAGTTCCCATTGAGGATTCGATGCAGTCAAATTTCAAAAGCTCCCAGAGTTTTGGCGTGATTCAGGGAAGGGGGAGAGAGTTGGCAGTTCAAAGCGTAGGTGGCATCTAGGGATGAAGTAGAGTCTCTTTATGCAAGTTTTTCTCACAACATTAAAAGGTTTTTGTAGGGCCGTTGAAGGTTTGTTACACTAGATAAGGCTGTGGGGATTTGATAAGGGTTGTACGTAAGGGGTGGTCGTGCTTAATTAAACAAGGCATGTCTTATGGGTATTTACGACACTCCGGGATAAGCCTGGGCATAACTTGAATGTTCCATATTCAACCGGAGACCAGCGTCACAAAACACAACTGAAAACATCCGCCAAAAACCTAAACCCGCCCCCTACCCCACCCCACCATGACTCCGACCCTCTCAAACCCCCACGCCTCAACAATCAATCCAACCTTCTTCAAAGAGATGTCCGGCAGACCCCTGACACGCAAAGATGCAGCAGCTCCAGCATCTCTTCCTAAAGAACACTACCGTTGCAGCCCTAAACCCTGAAACCCTAAAACCCGGTTTAAAGGTTGAGGCTCCTGGCCTGAGTCCCTGAACCCTAAAGCCTAAACCTTAAACCTAAACCCTGAATCTTCAACCTTAATCCGTAAACCCAGATTCCCTAAACCCTAAACCCTAACCCCTAAAGCCAGATTCCCTATACCCTAAACCCTAACCCCTGAACCCAGAATCCCTATACCCTAAACCCAGATTCCCTAAACCCTAAACCCTGAACCCCTAAACCCCAAACCCTAAACCCCCCAGGTTTTCAAACCCGACGTCTTTGATTCCTTGTCCTAGAGCCTGCCTGTTGCCCAAACGGAAGCTCCAGCG